TCCCAGAAGAACTGAAAGCATGATACCACAGTGACATATTTGCACCCATGTTTATTAGCAGCACAATTTGTAATAGCCAGATCTGGGAAACTACCTAAGTGTCCATCAACTGAAGAATGGATAAAAAAGTTGTGGTATTTCTATACAATGGAGTACTACTCAGCTATAAAGGATGATCACATTGAGATATAAATAAATGTATGCAGTTTGAGAACATACTCATAAGTGAAATAAATCAAACTCACATGTATAAATACCGAATAGTTTCCCTAGTGTAAGAAATGATAAGAATACATAAAAGTGCATGGTAATCATGATTTCCATCATATTGGTTTGAAGCCATATAATGTTTTCATTCATTATTTGGAATGGTTTTAATCTAGGTTGTTTGATTTTATTGTCTGTGATAGTATGAATAGTTATTTTGAAGAAAATTAGGCAGCGTAATAGCTAGTGCTGATTTAATATCATCCTGTTTTGAAGTCATACTAAGTTGTTGTTCATCTGTTTCCATTGGTTTTAACATGTTGTATCATATTATATTTTAATATGTGCAATAGTATAAAGAAAAATTTTTATAGGCAAAGAGATAGTATAGAAACCATTGTTCAATTTCTGTTAGCTGGTTCTTAATACCCTGAAATACTTTCATTCTCTTGAATGATTTCACACTGTCTTGATAAGTTTGATGCTATAGTAAACAAAGTTATGCTCAAATATGTCAAGGAAAGAGACACTATGGTAACAACTATTATGTCAGGCTATACGGTGGTGAAACACAATGATGCTTAAATTGTTCAGTTCTGACCTGTGTTGTTCTATTGATATGTCCTCTTTTATCTCAATCTCCCTTTTTTAAAAAAAGTAATTTCTTATTATTTTTAAGGGAAAACTATACTAAAAATAGCAGAATATATTATAGTAACTCTTTTATTTTCTTATTAACTGATTTGAACCCCTGTATTGTTCTCCACATCTTGTCCTCACTGATTTTACTACATTCTGTTTTGCTTAATAGCATCAAGTTTGAGGGTGGGCAACCACTTTGAAGGCAACAAGATATTCTATGATGCTCATTATGGTTTGACTATTATTTTCTTTGGAAGTCCTCCAATGTGGGTCTTATTGGCCTTGTTATGTATAGTTTTGTTCAAATCTATTATAACAGATGATACAGGCAACTCTTTAAGATAGCAAGAGGCATAATGATAACCATTGTTGATCACCTGGTATTCTCTTTTGCATTATATACCATGTCCATCCTCCTGTTCTAACTGACTCTGTTTTGCTTTGTCACGTGGGATTTTTTGTTTTGTTTTGTTTCATTTGTTATGTTTTTATTTTTTTTTTCCTCTTCAAAGAAAAAGTTACAAGAACTTTGGGAATAATAAAACCCCAAATGTGTAATTGTTATCATAAAAAAGAGAGGAAAACAAAGTGATCTAAATGATATAACTGCATGTATATTTAAGTGTATAGAATAGAAAACCATATTACTGAGTTTTTGTTGGATCATTGAACAGAACTGTCTACAACTTCACTGTATTAATGTCCACTTTGTATGCTTTAATTTTGTAATCTGGACAACTGTTAATGAGATGACAATATGTAATCTATTAACTAGTGATTTCTTACTGTATTTTTTCTTGAAATTCTGTATTACTTGTACTCTCTTACTGTTTTGTTTTGTTTTTCTCTTTAAATAAATAAAAAAAAAACAGAATCACCACATTTGGGCAACAAATGCAGAAAATGCTGAGCCTTCAAAGCTGATTCATGCAGGCACACATCCCTGAGATGTGCTGAGTCTCCACCTGATGGCAGGTTTTAAGACAGGTGCTGAAAAGCACTGGGGAGAATATGGGGGCCAGAGCAGAGACCTGCCTGGCAGCTCACATCAGAGTGCTACACACATTTGTCCCTGGACCTGGCAGGGTTAACAACAGATCTTTATCCCTTACAGAGAGCTGCACAACTTTGCAAGATTTCCTTGAAAGAGTTTGATTCACAGCTATTTGAAGCAGGAAGGAACTGGGACCATCCCTCTCTTCCACATAAAGGGTGTGTGGTACCAGTGTGGGTCATAGGAAGCAGGGAAAGCTGCAGGATGTGAGAACAAGTATCTCAGTTATGAAAGGGAAATGTCTCTGACATCAATGTGCATCCACACATAGACCTGTAAGAATCTGCATGTAAGAATGGTGTCTCAGCAGTGTAGTTACTTATGGTGACCCTGGCTAAAAATAAAAAAGAATTTTAAAAACAGAAGTTAGTGTAGTTCAGTGCAAGTCCCTTGTCATAGTTTATGTCTGTGGCCCCTAGGCCTCATGCCTTTACATTTTGCATTTGTGATTGTTTCAATGTTTAGGGCTTGCATTGGGGGTGTGAGTGCTTCACAGGCAGGATGTAGAGCCAGGATGTGATGTACTGGCAGGAAGAAGTTGTGGCTGGTGCTTTTGCCAGTTTCCTCTTTGCTGTTTGCAGCCACCATGAACTGCGGCCCTGCCATGTCACCCTACCATGGAGCCAACTGCGTATGGATTGAAACCTCCACAAACTGTAAGAAATAAACCTTTCCTTTCCCAAATTTTGGCATCAGGATTTTTGTCTCAGCAACCAGTAAAAAGTAACTAAGACAGCCCTGCATCCAATTCCTAGAATTCAGTTAAGAAAAAACAAACAAACAAAGAAACAAAAATTGGGAGCAAGGTGAAGGGCTACAGAGTATTGCTGCCTGGTCTTTCTGAAGAGCAGTGTGCCCCAAGTACCTTTAGCCTCCACACAATTCTTGAGCACTCTTATTTTAAAAAATGATCATTTCCATGAGGGATGGGGAAAGGAGGATGGTCATCCAAAAATACAACGTCTCAGTCATGGTGGACAAGAAATTTTCAGTTCTCTACTAAACTGTATGGTGACTACAGTTAACTAAGAAGGATAGATTTCAAAACTCCTAAACAAAGGAATTTGCAGTCCCAGTCACTGTGAAAGAATTTGTAGGTTTCTAAAATGGTAGGTACATTAACTAGATTGATTCTTTCCACAAAGGAGCCATAGATGAAAAGCACATTTTATCCCATAAACATACATAATTATTGTAAATTTGTAAGTAAAGACAGCCTGTATCTGTACTCCCAGAACTCTGGGAGGTAAGGAAGAAGGACCACCAGGTTAAACCAAACCTGGGGAATTGAGTAAATTATTTAGATACTGTCTCAAGAAACAAACAAATAAGAACAAATTTTAAAAGTGCAGGGACATATACCTCATGCAGAAATCCCTGGCATCACTGAACGTAGTACATAAACTGCATAGTATGAAATTGTATAGTCTTTCTTTTATTTATTTATTTATTTATTTATTTTTTGTCTTTTTGAGACGTAGTCTTGCTATGCACTTTAGGCTGGCCTTGAGCTCACTTTTTAGCCCAGCTGGTTTCAAACTTGCAAGGATTCTCTCACCTCAGCCTTCTGAGTGCTGGGATTACATGTGTGAGCCACCAAGCCCGGCTGAAAAATTTCATAGTTTCATACTACACAGTTTTGCAGTATATAAATTTATATAAAGTATGCTATAGTGTATAAAGCATACTATATAGTTTCATAGTATACAAACTGCATAGTATGAAGACTTTCTTTATAAAGGTGTTTTCATATTTGCTTTATTAGTATCTACTTATGGTACATTAAAATAAGAAAAGAGGAAAAAGGGGTTGTTTATTTCGTTCTGAGACAAGGTCCTGCTATATAGTGCAGCCTGATCTTTAACTCAGCAAGTATTTCAGGCTAGCCTGGTATTCACTGTGATCCTCCTGTCTAACCCTCCATAGTGCTGGGATTACAGGCATGCACCACCATGCCCAGCAAGAAAATATTTTTATTTCATTTTTATTTTTAAGAGAATAAAATGAAACGAAACAAAACATAATGGAGTGAATCAAAACAAAAAGATGAACATGGTACATGACTTAAAAACAAAGTCCAATAGTAGGTTGTGTGGCCTGTCTCTCAGACTGCCCAGAAAATGACACAACCTCTTTCTGAACTCCAAATTTGACAAGAAATTTGGGCAAATACCTAGATTTTGAAAGATGTAAACATGTCTTGTTTAGGCACCAATTCATATCAAGTGGCAGGGAAAGAGCAAAAAACTTTGACTTAGTATTTCAAATTCTGGAATTTATCCGAAGAAAAAATGATATGTGTTCAATGAACGTTTTCTAAGAGGAACTAGACTTGTATACATGGTCAGTAACAGGATAACTAAGTACAACTGTACCTATGCATATAATATAAATATTCAACACTATGCATATATATAAATGATGTGAGCAGAACCGGGGAGTAATGGTCAGAGACAGCAGAATAGGGACAAGAAGGGTATTCTGCAGCAGGGTTCAACAATGTGTGCGCAGTATTTTTGTGGACTTAAATTGTGGAATCACACTTCCTCATGACTCAAAGCCCCATGTCGCCTTCAGACTCCTCACAAAACCTAAACACCCTTCACAAAACCTAAACACAAAAGTAGCGCCAATATTAAAAGAAGCAGAAAGCCCCTTATCAGTGAAACGGACTGGAGCCACAGCACGTGCAGGTAGAATAATAACTACTATCTTACTGTAACATCTCAGTCCTCTCTCGGTTTCTGCAGGGAGGAGTTCCTAGTGGAATGAAATCGTCATTTTGGGGGTAAATATCCACGGCTCAGCATGGCCAGGCTCACTGACAGCAGAGGCCATGTGAGACCCCAAGCCGCCTCCTGCAGGTCCCACACCAGGACTGGGCTTCCAGTAGCCTGGCTGTGCTGACCCCGACAGAGAGCAGGGAGGAAGGGAGAGAGGGGCCCTGCGGGCGGGGGCTAGGTCGCGCCCAGCGCGTCACCCCCACCGCCCCAGCCCATGACCCCGCCATAAGGACTCCCTGCCCGGACAGCTGCGCCCACTAATGTGGGGGCCACCGGGCAGCGCCACTGCTCGCTGCCGGCTCCCAGCGGCCTACCTGGCCCAGACCCCAGCTCAGGCCCCGATGCAGCCTAGGCCGCTGAAGGAAGAGAGCACTGGTCTTCAGACAGCATCTCTAGTGGCAAAATGGCGACTCCAAGCACAAGACCGGCATGCACTGCGAGGGCGAGACGGGGCGCGGGCAGGTCTGAGCGGGGATGTGGAGGCTCATGCTCAGGCCGTCTGTGGGCGTGGCCCGCCGGGTGTGGGGCGGGGCAGCAGAACCTTTGGTCCTGGAAGGGGGTGGGGCGAAGGGTGTGAGGGAAGGGCAAGGGGCAGGGCTAGAAGTTGGGACAAAGCAGGCGCCAAGCCTGTCAGTGGGGCAAAAATGAGGCAGTGGGCGTGGCAATTGGGGTTAGGGTCCCACTGAAGCAGGGTGTGGCTGCCAGTGGAGATCTCTGATGAGGCTTCTGGGAGACTCTGAGCCCCAGGCCCACTATGACAGGAAGCAGAGGAGTGGACTGAGTCTGAGGCTTGGAATTTATAGGTGTCTGGACTCAAATCTTGTAGCTCTGAAACCTTGGGCCCACTGCTCCTCTTCTTGGAGCCTCACTTGCCAATACTGTCATTCTCCTATTACTTTGTTTTGAAATATTGTGGATTTTTTTCCATTCAAAAAACAAACCGTGATGACTGGCAATACTCCTCTCTTGGCGCTGCTGTGAAGATCCAGTGAAAACCCTGCAGAGCTCTTCCCATGGCTCCTAGCATATAGCAAGAGCTCAGATGCCATTGTTATTTGCGTTGTTGCCCTTCTTTTATTACAGAGAAATGAGTGCTTCCTGAATACATTGTCTGATGTTTTCATATCTTAAAAATATGTTAATATAATGTACTAACAAGCTTCTTTCACACTTATCAGTGTCAGGCCAGGGCCTCTTTGAGGCGCTTTACATATGTTAATTCTTACAAGAGTGTGAGTTAGGAATTATCTTCATTTACATTGCTGTGTGAGCCTAGACACCAAAAAAAATACCTTTTCCAATGACAAAGCAGTGGACAGAATTTTAACCCAGCGGGCCTTACACCAACACCTCTGTTAAGTAACCCATACTTAGCACAGCATCGCTGCAGTTCATGGGAGGTTGCACTGCTAGGTAGAGGCAGTTTTTGTCAGGGTTCACTATAGGATCAGATTCAATTTCTCTCTCTTTGTGTGTGTGTGTGTGTGTGTGTGTGTGTGTGTGTGTGTGTGTGTGATATAAAGGATTTGCAAATTAGGTTTAGGATGGCCATCTGCAGAGTCAGGTGGAGAACAGCGCAAAAGGGTCAGGTGCTCCTTGGACATGCAAAACCTCCAATCACAAGTCTGAGGCCTGGAGCTCTCTGCAGAGTCCCTGGAGAGTCTTCAGGGAGCAGAAGAATCTGTGCTAGGTGCCTGGAAATGGATACCTAAGGTGATGGCAAGGATTCAAACTCTTCTGAAGAGGCAGAAGCCAGACTTTCTCCTTTCCCATTTTACAGCTTCCAGGATGCAGGCCTGTTGGTTGCCCACCACACACAGGGAAGGTCTTCCATCTTCAGTGAGTCAGTAATCTACACACAAACACAAAATTGTGCTGAAACGATCAGCTAGGTGTTCTTTGTTTGTTGGTTTTTGGTTTTGTGAGACAGGGTTTTGCTATGGAATTCATGCTGGCCTTGAACTCACTGTGTTGCCCAAGCTAGTCTCAAACTCAAAGATTTTATTGCCTCAGGCTCCCAAGTGCTGAGTTTACAGATATGCACCTCTACACCAAGTTCCTCCTTTATTTGAATGCACTTATTCCATCATTTTGCCATTTTCTTTGAAACAGTTCTGGAACTCCTCTTATGAGTATCTTTAATTGTGCTGTTGTGGCTGCCTCAATGTATTGAATCAATTCAAAATATTCATCTTTCATGGTCATTTTGAATTTCAGAAGAGTCACCAGATCTGGTGAATCACGTGGATGAGGACACACCATAATGTATTTATGAGCCTTCCTTTCCATTGGATGGCACTAAGCAGGAGCACTAACTATAATGTTTATTCCAATATATAAAGACACTCACAAAAGAGGACTTCCAAACTCCTTCAGAAATTGCCAGAACAAATGGGGAAGAGTTCTTAAAGTGAGGATGTGTATTTTATTTAATTTATTTGTCTAAATAGGTGCTTCTTAAGAAGGATTAATTGCCACATATCACTATTGTAGTACATCTAAAAAATTTAAGTATTAGAGGTATATTTTGATCACCCATTGTACTTCTTCCTTCAGGTTTTTAATTAAACATCTATAAATTCAGTGTCCCCTATACAACATGATTGTGACCAGAAGTATTTGGAATTTCTATAATTTTATTGGAATATTTGCATATACATAATAAGTTATCTTGAGGATGGGACACAGTTTAAATATGAAATTTATTTATGGTTCACATATACTTCATACTCATAACCTGAAGATAATTTTATACAATACTTTTAAGGAGTTTGTGTTTGACATGTGTATTGTGTTGTTTCTCTGGTGTGGGAAGCTGAAAATGTAGATAAGCACTAAAGTAATCTAGATATTTTGAAAATTTTCTAATTAAATGAGGAATTATGCATGTAGGAGGAAGAAAAGAAGGAAGAAAAAAGAAACAAATGATGAGAAAAGAAGAAAACAAAGCTTTCATAAACAAGGAAGGTAAGAGAGTTGAAGCAAAATTAGGGGAATGGAGAATAACACATTCAAGTTTTTATTGTACGGTACAAATTTCCCACGGTTTCCATGATCATTATTTACACCTAAACTATACCAATAATCTTAATGAAAAAAATATTTTGTGTTTGAAACAAAATTCTTGTTGTGAAATTTTTCACTTTTGGCCCTGTATCATTACTCAAAAGTTCTAGACCTTGAAGCATTTCAGACTTTAGAATTCTGATTAGGAATGCTCAGCTGACATTTGGGTAGTTATTGGATAAATATCCCTCCACCTCAATAGACTGTAGGCTTCATGGTAAGAGTATGACAGCAGTCTCTTTGTCATGGTTAACCTTAGTACCCCTCAAGCCTCATGCCATCCTGGATGCGACCATATCTATGTTTTCTGATTGGTTGTTTTCTAGCACTCAGATTGATGGTATGAGAACTACACCTGCCAAGGGTGGAGCCAGCATACAGTGTACCTAAGGAAAGAGGACTTGTGTTTCTCTTTTGCTGTTCATGCCTGATGTTTGTAGCCACCACAAATTACTGCCCCTCAGCCTTTTAACCTTGGAGCCAACTGAGTATGGACTGAAGCCTCCAACCTGTAAGAAATAAACCTTTCCTTCTTTCATGTTAGACATCAGATATTTTGTCTCAACAACCAGTGAGAAGTAACTAAGACAACTTGTAATTATTGTTTATCAGTACCCAACACAATGCCTGACACAAGAATAGTATGGTTTTGTTGACAGAAAGAAAGTAACCAATAGCTAACATTTTTAGATTTGTATCACACAGAATTTCACTACTTTCAAGGCTGTGCTGTGAAATAAGGTCTCATCAGTTTTCCTCTCTATAGGCACTAAGCTTGTCATTTCTTTTGCTTTATAATAGCAAATAATGCTCCTCTATCCAGTTTTCATTTACCCTTCAATCTTAGAAATCAATTCTAAGCTGTTATACAATCTTAAGCTGGGCATGTAACTCAGGATCTCCTTCATGCTAGGTGAGTCCTCTACCTCAAGATACATTCCAGCCCTTTCTTTTTTTTCCTGGAGTTTAGGCCATGGGGATGTACTGTGGTGGATGTCCAGCCCAAATGAGTCACCAGGGAACTGCAGTTTTAGCTGCAAGCTGACTGAAGTTCCATGACAGTTTACTGTAATCAAGAACTACCCAACTGAGCATAGACAAACCAAAAAATTGAGTAATAATTATAAAATTTTGCAATAAGGCAATGAGTTTGGGAATCCTTTGTTATACAACAATGGCTAATGAGCAAGAAAGGAGCAAGAGAGGCACTATTCTCAATAACCAAGGCAAGCAATCAGTCTACATATCTGTCAGCTGGTCAACAGGAAAAGAAAACATGGCATGCGCATGTGCACACATGCACACACACATCCTACTCAATCATAAAGAAGAATAAAATCTGGTTATATGCAGAAAAATGCATGGAAATGGAAGATACAAAATAATTCAGATACAAAAGAAATTGCATGTTTTCTCTCATATGTGGAAACTTAAAAAAAGTAGAAGAGGGACTACACGACCTGGAAGGAGTGTTAGGTGAGAGGGAGAAGGTAGGACGGGGTGGACGAACTTGATTGAAGCACAATATATGCAAATATGAAAATATAATGAATCTCCTTACACTTTACAGCCAGTATGTGTCAATAAATTTAGTTTTTAAAACACAAAGGAGATGGAATAAAATTTAAAGCATGTGGGCAGTTACATGCTAATGCAGACACTGCTGAATCACTTGCTAATCCCTTGTGTCTTTGGCAGTTTTCATGTGATAGGAGTGCATAGATTGCTGGGAAAACATCACTGGCCATATTCAAGGCTCACACTTTTGCATGTGGAACATGAATCAAGAGGCCTAAGGCTAAGAATCTTGCTGTCATTTGATAGAAGTTTTTTTTCCAAGCAATGTACTATAGCAGAATTATTCCCTGCCTTCAGATGGCAAGGAGGTGGCTGTCAGACACCAGGAACAGGGACTGCATGCTGACTCTCCTACTGCAAAATGACCTTGAAAAGATCCTGTTGCTTTTCCACAGTTAGTTTTCTCCCTGAAAAATGATCACTTAAGTTAGCAGCTGTAGAGACTGGAGGTGAGAAATAGCATTTTGATGGAGTTCATGAGTCAGAGGTGGCCAGAGAAAAGTCTTTTGCAAGTGCTTCTTCACCATAATTCTGGATACTTTGTACAACCTGTTTGGTATAATTAACCAATTATTTCCTCATCATAAAGTTCTAGAAGTAAGTTTGTTGGGCCAAGAGGGTGTGACCTTTTCCAATCTGGTTACCTAGGCATGTTGAATTAATTTATATTCTCACCAGAATATCCCTATTTTCTCATCAACCTTGGCACCACTAAGTTTTTATGTTACCTGAGTTGATGGTCAGTGTTTCTCAGTTTTTTAAAATTAATGTCCAAATCAAGCTGTCCCTTC